AGTCAATTAAACAAATATTATCTTTATCACGTTTCAAGAATTTCTGCATGCCTTACAACTGGCTATGCATTATATTTCGCAAATCACCCTCTGAGTGATGGCTTCATCTATTTAAAAGTAAAACGAAAGAAAAGAGGAATTAAGCGCAAGTGCAGAAACTTCAAGCCAAGTTTTGTTGCGGTCAGAGGCAATTTATAGTAAACTTACCTATAAATGAATATCGACTTATCTTTAAATTTTTAGATAGAAAAAACATGAAGAAAATTTTCAATCACAAATATATTATCTGTTTTATGCTTTTTGCAAACTAAAATATGTTTCGAAGAATTTTAATTGCAATAGAAAACAATTAAAGAAAAGTCGATATATATTTACTATATATATTCATTTATGCAAATAAGTGAAAAAATAATTAAGAATGACATAGGAAGAAGGAAAGAAAGAAAGAAAGAAAGAAAGAAAGAGAGAGAGTGAAAAGAAAATATTGTTATTTGATTATGGATCCCATTCAATTATTATTTCATTCAAATAAACCGAACAATAAGATAATGTATATGTTTATGTCTGCTACGTATGTTTAAATGCGAAGCATTTTCCTTAAATAAATTTTCTATTAAATTTGTACATAAAATGAATGAAATTTACATACCTAATTAAGGGAATTTGCATTACCGAGTAATATAATTCCAATATTATTACAGTATATATATATATATATCTATATATAAAAAACAATAAAAGTTATTCGCATTCATCATCAATACATATATGTAGTGTATACAGTTCGCATGTAAGAAATGAAATGAAATGAAATGAAATGGATGAGCAGCAGGCAATAATATTATTTAAAATCTAATGCGTAAATGCTTCTGGAGTTAACTTAAATAATTTTTAAACTCAGTTATTTTTTTAAAATATTATATAAAATTAGCATTACAAGTCGGTTAAGATGTTTGTGTGCTTTTAATTCAGTAAATGGTTAAGAGCGAATATAGACCGAAAATATTTATGCTTCTTTTTTACATATGCATTTTTCTAATACAGTTTTGATTTCCTTTTCAATTAAGCAATGCATTCGTTTACTTGGTCGCTTTTGAATAAAGCGAATATATCCGCGT